AAATAGGAGCTGCTAAAATGGATGTGACAGGACATAACCTTATAATCTTCATCTATTGTCATATGAAGTTAAAATGAAGTATTTTCATACATATACCTGTAGATTCGGTAAAGTTTTACTTATTTCATTATCTTTTTAAATGCCTGGTGCATGAATACATTTGAGATATATGCTGATTTTTAAATTCCATTGGGTTTTTGTAAATATTTTATCAGCCCTTTTAGGTGTGTATCCAGTTTATATAGGCTGACGAAACAGTGTTCAGAAATGTAGTAGGGCAGGGTTTGCCCTATATCTTTTCAAATAGTAACTAGAAATTAAATGTATTGGTTGGTGTTTTTCAGGGTTGTTCTTGAAGGTATTTTAGTTATTTTCCTATTTTTAACATAAAATATAATAACGTTTCCATGCTGTGTAAAACAGCATAAGGGATGAAGCTGTGATTGTGGTGCCAAACATTTCAAACTACATATTGTTAACTATTGCCTTTTCCTATTTGCACTAGTTCTTAAAATTCAACTGTTTGTTGGTAATTTAGCAAATGACACCAGTCATTTCACTTGCTTTTTAACCATACTTCCCCCAATCATTTTGCATATGTTTAAAATTTTGCTCCTCCTTTTGGTTACATCTTTTAAAAAGGACACTTTGGTTATTGAAACCTCAGAAAGATGTGGCACACGGTGGATGAGAGAAGCTTTATGCAAGGTAAAGTCATGTATTAAAACTGACAATTGGACTTTGTTTGCAGAAACAAATTTTAGATTAATATATATAAAGAGAATATGTGTTTGTTCTTTTCATGGAGTGATATCATACTGGATTCTTCTTTACCAAGAAGTTTTAGCATATGTAGCATCAAATTCAGCACCTAGATCAATGTCTATAATTAAAGTGTAATATCAGTGTCTATAATTAAAGTGTAATAATGTAAATGTTAATCCAAAAATTAAGTTAGAGAAATTTTAGAGTTGAAGAGCACAGTGATCTATGTAAAATATTATGTTCACTTTGTGTATCATTTTCAAAGAAAAAGCACTTTCCTATTAGCTAGCATGTGAATGAATTATAGATTCTCATATTTGTTAGTCTGTAACAGAGTGAAGTAAAATTTACATTTAACAACATGTCTGTGTATGGATAATCTGATTATACAAATGTTGAATCAAAGCACCTTATACTATGCTGCTTAAATTTGTTTGTAATTGCACCTTTTGTTATCTGCACATTTTTTCTTATTGAACATTCTTGCGTGATAACATTGCTCCCTGTGGGTCTAAGTGGAAAATTAGCCAACCTACAGCATCATTTACTTATATCATTATATTTCAATACTATGTTGTATTGTGAGTTCAGTGCTTCAAAAATAAAAGCGACTTCCATTTGTTTACTTTGATTATTTAATCTGTTTTACTTTTTCACTTTACAATTAAAAATCAAATGCTACATAAAGCTTTAAGGACAGAAGAACAAATAACATCTATTCACTTGAGTTGGGTTAGCAGTTACAAGTTAATAATTTTCCCACTAATGTAGCTCTTTTTAAAATATAATTTTTAGTTAAAACATTTGCTTTCATATTCCAACTATAAAAAAAATTCTTTCTAGCTTTAACCAGGAAGTAACTATCCTTTCTGACTGCTATCAGATTGCAATTTAGGTTTTTTAAATGTATGCACATATCTATTGTTTTTGGTGCATATAAAGTAGGCATATTTACACATCTGGGGGGGAGAGATAGCTCAGTGGTTTGAGCATTGGCCTGCTAAACCCAGGGTTGTGAGTTCAATCCTTGAGGGGAGCCATTTAGGGCTCTGGGGCAAAAAAACAACTGTCAGGGACAGTACTTGGTCCTGCTAGTGAAGGCAGGGACTGGACTCAATGACCTTTCAAGGTCCCTTCCAGTTCTATGAGATAGGTATATCTCCATATATTATTATTTATCTTGGCAAATCATGAAACATTTTAAAAATGTCACTGAGAGCATCTTTTTAAAAAAGGCATAAATAACAAAACACAGCTCTAGTTTCTTTACCCATTCTGTACAACCAAGATCCTTACATCAGCCTGCCTGCCTTCCCCATATCTGTAAATCAATATCATCTAAAGCCAGGGGTCAGCAACCTTTAGCACGCAGCTCGCCAGGGTAAGCACCCTGGCGGGCCGGGCTGATTTTTTTACCTGCCGCGTCTGCAGGTTCGGCCGATCGCGGCTCCCACTCCTCCTTGTAGCAACCTTTTATGTACTTGAAAACTGTTATCATGTCCCCTCTCAGTCTTCTCTACTCCAGACTAAACAAACCCAATTTTTTCAATCTTCCCTCATAGGTCATATTTTCTAGACCATCATTTTGTTGCTCTTCTCTGGACTTTCTCCAATTTGTCCACATCTTTCCTGAAATGTGGCGACCAGAACTGGACACAATATTCCAGTTGAGGCCTAATCAGCACAAGTAGAGCGGAAGAATTACTTCTCGCATCTTGCTTACCATATTCCTGCTAATACATCCCAGAATGATGTTTGCTTTTTTTGCAACAGCCTTACACTGTTGACTCATATTTAGCTTGTGATCCACTATGACCCCCAGATCTCTTTCTGCAATACTCCTTCCTAGGCAGTCATTTCCCATTTTGTAAGTGTGCAATTGATTGTTCCTTCCTAAGTGGAGTACTTTGTATTTGTCCTTATTGAATTTCATCCTATTTACTAGAACATTTCTCCAGTTTGTCCAGATCATTTTGAATTTTAATCCTATCCTCCAAAGCACTTGCAACCCAGCTTGGTATTGTCCGCAAACTTTATAAGTGTACTCTCTATGCCATTATCTAAATCATTGATGAAGATATTGAACAGAACCGGACCCAGAACTGATCCCTGCAGGACCCCACTCGTTATGCCCTTCCAGCATGACTGTAAACCACTGATAACTACCAGTTATGTACCCACCTTATAGTAGTTCCATCTAAGTTGTATTTCCCTAGTTTGTTTATGAGGTCATGCGAGACAGTATCAAAATCCTTACTAAAGTCAAGATATACCACATTTACCACTTCCCCCCATACACAAGGCTTGTTACCCTGTCAAAGAAAGCTATCAGGTTGGTTTGACACGATTTGTTCTTGACAAATCCATGCTAACTGTTATTATCTTCTAGGTGTTTGCAAATTGATTGCTTAATTATTTGCTCCATTATCTTTCCAGGTACAGAAGTTAAGCTGACTGGTCTGTAATTCCCCGGGGTTGTCATTTCCCTTTTTATAGATGGGCACTATATTTGCCCTTTTCTAGTCTTCTGGAATGTCTCCAGTATTACTTTTCCAACAGATATCTGGGGTAGTTAAAGTTCCCCAATATTACCAGGTCTTGTGTTCTGGATATTTCTGTTTATTCTAGAAATGCCTCATCCGCCTCCTCTTCCAGATTTAGACCCCTATCATGGTGTCACTCCTATTTTCTCCCCCTTTTATCTCAACCCAGAAACTTTTCTGCCTCTCACCTTCTTCTGGATCTCAGAGCAAGTGTACATATTCTTGATGTATAATGCAACACCTCCTTCGGTTTTATCCTGCCTGACCTTCCTGAACAAGCTATACCCCTATTTACCAACATTCCCCTCATGAGACGTATCCCACCAATGTGTGATGCCAAGTAAGTCATAATTTAGATTATGCACTAAAACTTCCAGTTCTTCCTGTTTGTTCCCCATACTCCTTGCATTTGTGTATATACATCTAAGATGTAAAGCAGATTCCTTCACTTAATTCCATCCTGTTGCTCATATGACTCAATAGTAATTTACCATTCCTTCTCACTAGCTTGGTGAGTCACCATGCAAAGATGCTCTTCCCCTTCTTAGATGGACCCCATCTTTTCCCAGCACTCCTCCTTCCCAGAACAGCATCCCATACATACATACTGTGCATGTAAAGGACAGGCAGAATAAGTTTCCTATGTCAACTCCACTCATGAGTACAAAGAAGCAGTGTCGTCCAGTGGGTTGAGCAGTAGACTGAGAGTCAGGACACCAGAGGCCAGATCTTCAGCTGATGTAAATTACAGAGCTCTGACAATTTACATTACCTAAGTATCTGCTATGCCATTGGTCTACTGTGTCACTGTAACCAAGTCACTTCTCTTTCTTCCTTTGTCCATGAAGTCTATTTGGACGATGTTCTTCATAGTGCTTACTATGTGTTTGCAGAGTGCCTGGAACAATCAGCATTGGTATCATTAAGCACTACTATAATATAGTGGTGAATCATTTGTTTTATCCACTGATCACTATTTTGTTTTTATTAATGTTCTGTGAAGATATTCCATTTATTTTTTCTCACTGGCCACCTAATTACTTAAGCAACACAATGTGCAGAAAAATATTTTTTCTGCTAAAGCTCCTATTTTATCCATTGATTCTTTCTACAGATTTACATACAGCTGCAGATCCTTCACACCTACCATGTGCATTTTGATAAGTCATTCTTTCACATTTTTGATACTATCAGCAGTTTAATTTATTTGTACCAAATAACTGTATGGAAAACAAGATAACCTTTGACATTAAAGTAAATTTTTATATTTATTTGCACACTAAGGAAAGCCACTGCATTCTGATATTACTGGTAAAGTTACTGCAATGCTAAATAGAATATAAAGACTGAAATGAAAGTAACACAAATAAATAACACTTGCTTCTACAGTGCAAATTGTATGTTGTGAATGTATAAGTTACATTTAGTGCTTACAAAAAGTTTAAACAGTCACACAATGTCACCCTGGTAACTGTGCATCTTATTGGTCTTTCTTTTTTTGTGTATGCAGTGTAGTTGTAGCCGTGTCAGTCCCAGGATATTAGAGAGACAAGGTGGGCGAGATAATATATTTTATTGGACCATCTTCTGTTGGTGAGAGAGACAAGCTTTTGAGCCACAAAGAGCTCTTCTTCAGGTCTGTGTGGGTCGAAAGCTTGTCTCTCACCAACAGAAGTTGGTCCAATAAAAGATATTACCTCACCCACCTTTCCTTTTTTGTGGACAGTTTTAAACATAGTTTATATGATATTAAAAGTTATATCCATTCCTTTTAGACAGTTTCTTTTTCCTTAAGCAAAGAGGGAAACTTCAATTTTTAATAGGAAATAGTAAAACTTTTTTAGAACTGATAAATTATAAAGGAGGTGTTTAAAGCTAAAACATTTGACAATAAATAATACTTGTCCATAGCTGTAGAAGTCTCAAGTTTAGCTAAAGATTTTACTCCTCTCTTTTCTTTATATGGAAGTTCATGCATCAGACCTGCTTTATTTTAAACAATCTCAACTTTGTTTATTAGCATTTAATGTTAAAATCAGGCAGTTTTTTGCAGAAGTATTGGACATTTTTATATACCTATTTTCAACTATATTTTGAAAATATAACACATTCCATTAAAATATTTTGTGCGTTAAGCACCCATTTTTATGTGAAGTGTAGCTTGGAAAACAGTGCAGTATTCCACATTATAGTGCAATATTCCATTATACATTGGAGAATTTTGGTGAATTTTTCTTCATATTGTAGTTTGAGGAATTTCCTTGTATAATCCATTTACATGTGTTCACAGGGGACATCAAAATAGCATAGTCAGACACCTCTGATGCACAGCACTTATTTGTATTCTTTTCACACAGCAGTTCATTAACAGATGATTACTGTGCCTGGCTTTTCAGCTTGCTCTGTATTTTGATTGTTAAATGGGATGAAGCAGAATTTCCAGCTGACAAATGGATCTGCAGACCACATCCCCTCTGTCAATTGAATGTCATGACACCTAAACCAGTATGCTGTTGCGATTAGAAAGCTGTTTATGAAGTATAGCCAGGGGACATTCATCTCCATGTAGGCTGGAATCTGAGCACCAAGCAACAAGATGATCATCTGAAGGAAAACAAAAGGTGTCCAGGTGCCAAGAAAGCAGATGAGGAGTCTTGTCAAAAGCTGCTTTTTACAGACAGTGCAATCGCAGTCAGATGCATATGAAAAGATTAAAACAGTCACACTTGTAAAGGAAATAATCCGGACGGACCGCACCATAGTTATAACTTCTGACCAACAAATCACAAGAGCCACACCTATAACAAACAGGATGGTTAATGATAGCCAGTAGCTCTGAACACTGATATAGAAAGGGCATGTAAAAAAGTGGTTCTGTATTTCTAATTCTGCAGAGACAGCTGGAACTTTCAGAATATAAAAGAGGACTGAAATCCATATAAAAACCAGAGCAAGTATATAAAGTAGTCTTTGACCTATGCTAGCAGGTTTAGGGGTTTGAGCTATAGTCATGTAATAATCCAGAACAGACACAAGACAAACTGGGTAATGCAAGACACCATACATAAGGGAAATTATCTGAGTGAATAGACAAATGTGGTACTTGGTAAATCTCACACCCCAAAGTGCAAAGTTCTCAAAATAGGAGATGAAAGCTATATTCACCAGAAGTGTGAAGTCAAGGAGTGCCAGTGAAATACAGAAATATCCCATAAAACTTTGTTTTACATCCCGTCTTCTAACTCGCAACATGAAGAGATTGAGTGACACTTTTCCAAGCATAATCAGGAGCAGCATACAGCTAGCTTCAAGAGGTTGATTGAGTTGGCTGTAGTATTGAAGGGAACAATTTGCACAAGACATGGCAGCCATTCTTCAAGGATAAGAGCCAGCAAAATACATCTTACAGGACACAGTGGTTCATACCTGAAAAGAGAGTTAATGACAGTCTTGGAAAGTATATTAACTGATTACTGTTGTAACTCTCCTGCCAATCATAACTTCCCCCCCGGAAGGGATGTTACGAGCCACTTGACTTTCAATGGTCCCTTGAAATGTGTTATCCACTTATGCTAACAATCTGTTCCACCTTGTATTTAGCTGTGTCGCTCTTAGTACATTTCCCAGACCTGAAGAAGAGCTCTGTATAATCTCAAAACTTGTCTCTCTCACCAATAGAAATTGATCCAAAAAAAGATATTACCTGACCCACCTTGTCTCTCTAAGTTCCTGGGACCAACACAGCTACAACAACACTGCATACAATCATAACTTCGTTGTCAGTCGAGCAGTTATAAAACTCCTACTTGAATTTTCACAAGTCTTTGATTGTGTATAAAGCTTAAATGAAACACCATTTTATTGACAGCAAGTTCCTTTATCTTCTGTACATGTTCTTAGTTTTGGGAATTAAAAGACCTGTCATCTTAAATAATTTAAATTTAGATTTTATTTTTACTGAGCGATTTCACTATTTGTTTTCCATTTGGATTTTTTGGGTTTCTTTTTATAACTTGTTTGCATATGTTCATTTCTATACAAAGTGAGCCTGGGATGGCTGCTTCACCTACATCGGCATGGTAACATCCTCATGCTTATGCTGTCCTCTGGAAGAAGTCATTTTGCTTTCCTCCATTTTTCCTAGAGAATCAGGATGTGGTAAGATCAACTGTCCTTATCTGTGTGTTTAGAGAAGTGAATAAGAGTAAATGAATTAGATTGCCACCTAATATAATTTTAAAAATCTGTTTCCTAATCCCACAAAGCCAATAACTATCACTTTTTCATTTTTTTAAAAAAAGTGGCTTTCTCTCCTCACCCAGTCTTCTACAAAGAAGCCACTACAACCCTGTGGGTGATGTCTGCTCGCTTACTTTCTCCTCTGCCTGCTTCTTGGAGAAAATTGGGTGTGGGGTGCTTTAAGCCACAGTTTCCCCAGGAGTAGCTCCTCCTGATCAGCTGAGGAAGCCTTGCAGATTGAAGCAGCCCAAGTCTAGAGCACTCTTAGGCCCCTGTGCACAGAGGCATGTGTAGTATGGAAGTACCAGTTGTAGTTAAGGTAGAGTTAAGTTTTGCACTTTCAGCCAATGTTCAACTATTTTGTTACATATGAAGAACATAGCGTATCCTTCCCTAAATTACAGTACTTTGAAATTAGAATTAATTTTCTGAAAATTTACAAATAAATCCATTAATTAGGTTGAGTTAAATAATCAAAAGTGGGTCCTTTTAAAAAATTAGCATTGGGTGTCAGACTTTGTGTCTAATGGTTTCAGAACAGAGTAAGACACTTCAAATAATTAAAACTCAAATTTTGTGCATCGGCTACATTTGAAGAATTTTGGGGAGAATTAATGGTAACTTTTTGACATTATTCTTCATAACAGTTTCTCCTTCAGCAGAGACTGATAAATAATATTCCACTATAGAGAATTCTACAAAGAATTGCCCTCTTTCAAAATGGCAGCCATCTCCTCCTTTTGTTCACTATGAGACTAAGGCTACCAACTGTCCTCAAGGGTGTCAGGGTCCACCATCACTCTGAGGGAATCTTGGTTTCACTTCTGTTGGGAACAGTTGGAGGCTGTGGCCATTTTGAAAACAGACATCTTCCTGTGTTAAAAAACTGAGGCAGCAAAGGTGGGCATATACTAGTGCCAAATCGTGTTTGCCATATTCACATGAGTGAGGTTCCAATTCAACTCCCACTGATTTCAATTAATTTTGAATTGGACCTTTTAGTTCAATTAGCTTCAATAATACTCACTTGAGTAAGGTAAGTAGGATTTGGCCTTTAATAACAGTGGTTCTATTTCCTTAGAGAACTTGTATGTTACCACTTCCATAGTTAAACTCATCTTTAAACATATCTTTCTCAGCTTTTACACATAATTAAATACCACTTTCCCAAGATTGTTTTATATTCTCCCTATTGTAACTAATCTAATCCCATTCTCCATCCTATGTAGGATCCCATCAGGGGTGAAAGTAACTTAAAGGATTTACCGGTATGCCGGAGTCCTGAGCAGGGGGTGGGGCCTCAACTGGAAGGGGCGGGACCTTTAGAGCCCCAGGCCCTTTAAATCACTGCCAGAGCTACCAGCTTCAGAGCCCGGAGCCCCGGGCGGCGATTTAAAGGGCCCAGGGCTCCGGCCGCCACTACTGCCCCGGGCCCTTTAAATTGCCGCCAGAGCCCCGCTGCCGGAGCCAGCAGAGAGTTAAAGGACCCGGGGCGGTAGCGGCGGCAGCGGTGGCCGGAGCCCTGGGCCCTTTAAATTGCCACCTGAGCCCTGCTGCTGGAGCCCTGGGGTAGCAGCAGCGGGGCTCCAGCAGTGATCTAAAGGGCCAGGGGCTCCCAGCTGCCGCTACCGCAGCGGGGCCCCGGGCCCTTTAAATCACCGCCAGAGCCCCAGGGGTCCTAGCCACCTCTGTTACCCAGGGGCTCCGGCAGCTACCCCGGGCCCTTTAAATTGCCACCTGGGGAAGCTGGTCCGGTATGCCGTACTGGGCATACCGGCTTACTTTCACCTCTGGATCCCATTAATTTGTCATGTTTTTAGTTATTGTGATATGCAGTCTTAACTTCATCCTGAATTACTAAACTCTAATAGGGTGCTTATAAATACTGTATCATCATTATTAAAGAGCCTCCTGTTTCTTGAAAGTATGGTCCATAGCTTCCCTGTGAGAGAGAGAACATAAGTTGTCTTTTCATTCAGTAAGAATGATCAGTTTGCATTTTTCCACAAATAAGAATCTTTGCAGTCTCTATTATACTGCCAATATAACACTTTTATAATTATCTTAATATAACTTCATATATCAGATCTAGGCATTTTCATGAAACATTTTCATTCATCTTCCCTACACTTTACCCTTCTCTCCTTCCTTATCCCAATTCTCCCCTCAGAGGTTTCTGCTTCAGTTCTCAATTTTTTTCAGGTGCTACAGACCAACTTTTGCTTCCAACATTCTATTTTTAACAAGTTAATTATTCTTCCATTCTCTTTTATGCCTGATTTATTTATATTTAAATCTCCATCCACATCTTGTTACCATTTTGCATAAATAGACAACATTTGTGATCTAGGTGTAATTTAAGTACTACTCTCAATGGGAAGAGAAGACAGGGTTAGCTGGAGTTTGAATTTTACTGTCTCCCCAACTTTAATGATAGCTAGTGGATATATACCTCACGTTAGAAGGTGGCCCTAAGGCTTTCAATATACTATACACACATTTATACTATTAAAAGAATTGTACATTTGAAAGCATATTGTCAAGTTCAGGACACATTTAACCTGGTTACACGTGGACAGATCTTTCCACGTTTAATCAAACAGCGATGAAAATACTTTACAAGTGAACTGAAAATCTGCTAAATCAGGAGGCAAATACTGGTCCAAGCTTAACAAATGGCTCTTAATTTTGTTTGCACCATCACCTATAAATGTTGTTTGCATTGCAAATTTAGTCACTGGTGCATAAATACCTTGCAACATCAGCAACAACAGTGCCATGCGAACATCTAGTCTCACTTTCAAGTGACATAAATAAGAGGCGGGCAGCATTATCTCTCATAAATGTAAACAAAGCAATTGGCTGAACTAGAAGTAGGACTGACCGGAGTTGTAGGCTCTAAATTTTTACACTGTTTTTTTTTTTTTTTTTGAGTGCATTCATGCTTTAACTCAATTTACTGTGTGCAACATGGCCCACATTTTCAAAAGTGCACATCATGCAAGAGTTCACTCTGTAATTGTGTACTGGCTGTTGCATGTGCACAAGTCAGGCTGGAGCAATTTTGTGTGTGTGTAGGCAAAGAACATTATACAATATAAATTAAAGCACTTATGAATGGATGAAAAAATAACGTGTACTATTCTGCATACATCAATTCTCCTACCTGCTGAACATGTGAGGAAGGACCTGTGGTCAATCAGCATCAAAAGGGTTAGTGGTATTAACTCCTGAACAATAATACCAGAGTCCTTTATTCAAAGAGAGAGAACTTTTGCCCATAGCCCCTGCCCCAAATGTTGTTGCTCACATTTTCAACTATCCAGCTACTAGTTAAGTTGTGTCAGCATTTCTATTATAAACCACTATTTTCAAAAGGCCTAAAAGGTTCACTGTGGGGTGAAACTCAATTCATGTAGTCATAACATTTTGTTTTCATAGAATCATAGACTATCAGGGTTGGAAGGGACCTCAGGAGGTCATCTAGTCCAACCCCCTGCTCAAAGCAGGGCCAATCCCCAACTAAATCATCCCAGCCAGGGCTTTGTCAAGCCTGACCTTAAAAACCTCTAAGGAAGGAGATTCCACCACCTCCCTAGGTAACCCATTCCAGTGCTTCACCACCCTCCTAGTGAAAAAGTTTTTCCTAATATCCAATCTAAACCTCCCCAACTGCAACTTGAGACCATTACTCCTTGTTCTGTCATCTGGTACCACTGAGAACAGTCTAGATCCATCCTCTTTGGAACCCCCTTTCAGGTAGTTGAAAGCAGCTATCAAATCCCCCCTCATTCTTCTCTTCTGCACACTAAACAATCCCAGTTCCCTCAGCCTTTCCTCATAAGTCATGTGCTCCAGCCCCCTATTCATTTTTGTTGCCCTCCGCTGGACTCTTTCCAATTTTTCCACATCCTTCTTGTAGTGTGGGGTCCAAAACTGGACACACTACTCCAGAAGAGGCATCACCAATGCCAAATAGAGGGAAATAATCACGTCCCTCGATCTGCTGGCAATGCTCCTACTTATACAGCCCAAAATGCCGTTAGCTTTCTTGGCAACAAGGGCACACTGTTGACTCATATCCAGCTTCTCATGCACTGTAACCCCTAGGTCCTTTTCTGCAGAACTGCTGCCTAGCCACTCGGTCCCTAGTCTGTAGCAGTGCATGGGATTCTTCCATCCTAAGTGCAGGACTCTGCACTTGTCCTTGGTGAACCTCATCAGATTTCTTTTGGCCCAATCCTCTAATTTGTCTAGGTCCCTCTGTATCCTATCCCTACCCTCCAGCATATCTACCACTCCTCCCAGTTTAGTGTCATCTGCAAACTTGCTGAGGGTGCAATCCACGCCATCCTCCAGATCATTAATGAAGATATGAACAAAACTGGCCCCAGGACCGACCCTTGTGGCACTCTGCTTGATACCGGCTGCCAACTAGACATGGAGCCATTGATCACTACCTGTTGAGCCCGATGATCTAGCCAGCTTTCTATCCACCTTATAGTCCATTCATCCAGCCCATACTACTTTAACTTGCTGGCAAGAATACTGTGGGAGTCCGTATCAAAAACTTTGCTAAAGTCAAGGACTAACACGTCCACTGCTTTCCCCTCATCCACAGAGCCAGTTATCTCGTCACAGAAGGCAATTAGGTTAGTCAGGCATGACTTGCCCTTGGTGAATACATGCTGACTGTTCCTGATCACTTTCCTCTCTTCTAAGTGCTTCAAAATTGATTCCTTGAGGACCTGCTCCATGACTTTTCCAGGGACTGAGGTGAGGCTGACTGGCCTGTAGTTCCCCGGATCCTCCTCCTTCCCTTTTTTAAAAAGATGGGCACTACATTAGCCTTTTTCCAGTCATCTGGTACCTTCCCCAATCGCCATGAGTTTTCAAAGATAATGGCCAATGGCTCTGCAATCACATCCGCCAACTCCTTTAGCACCCTCGGATGCAGGCATCCAGTCCCATGGACTTGTGCTCATCCAGCTTTTTTAAATAGTCCTGAACCACTTCTTTCTCCACAGAGGGCTGGTCACCTCCTCCTCATACTGTGCTGCCCAGTGCAGTAGTCTGGGAGATGACCTTGTTTGTGAAGACAGAGGCAAAAAAAGCATTGAGTACATTAGCTTTTTCCACATCCTCTGTCACTAGCCCACACTTTCCTTGACCTTCTTCTTGTTGCTAACATACCTGAAGAAACCCTTCTTGTTACTCTTAACATCCCTTGCTAGCTGCAACTCCAAGTGTGATTTGGCCTTCCTGATTTCTCTCCTGCATGCCTGAGCAATATTTTTATACTCCTCCCTGGTCATTTGTCCAATCTCCCACTTCTTCTAAGCTTCTTTTTTGTGTTTAAGATCAACAAGGATTTCACTGTTAAGCCAAGCTGGTCGCCTGCCATATTTACTATTCTTTCTACACATCGGGATGGTTTGTTCCTGCAATAAGGATTCTTTAAAATACAGCCAGCTCTCCTGGACTTCTTTCCCCCTCATGTTATTCCCCCAGGGGATCCTGCCCATCAGTTCCCTGAGTGAGTCTGCTTTTCTGAAGTCCAGGGTCTGTATTCTGCTGCTCTCCTTTCTTCCTTGTGTCAGGATTCTGAACTCGACCATCTCATGGTCACTGCTTCCCAGGTTCCCATCCACTTTTGCCTCCCCTACTAATTCTTCCCTGTTTGTGAGCAGCAGGTCAAGAAGAGTTCTGTCCCTAGTTGGTTCCTTCAGCACTTGCACCAGGAAATTGTCCCCTACACTTTCCAAAAACTTCCTGGATTGTCTGTGCACTGCTGTATTGCTCTCCCAGCAGATATCGGGGTGATTGAAGTCCCCCATGAGAACCAGGGCCTGTGATCTAGTAACTTCTGTTAGACGAGGCTTTCTTCAGGCAACTATCTCATTCCCCTGATCTGGTGGTCTATAGCAGACTCCCACCACCACATCACTCTTGTTGTTCACACTTCTAAACTTAATCCAGAGACTCTCAGGTTTTTCCGCAGTTTCATACAGGAGCTCTGAGCAGTCATACTGCTCTCTTACATACAATGCAACTCCCCCACCTTTTCTGCCCGGCCTGTCCTTCCTGAACAGTTTATATCCATCCATGACACTACTCCAGTCATGTGAAAAGCGAAAGAGAGTCCTGTGGCACCTTATAGACTAACAGACATATAACTAAGTGGGTATTCACCCACGAAAGCTTATGCTCCAATACATCTGTTAGTCTATAAGGTGCCACAGGACTCTCTTTTGCTTTTTACAGATCAGGACTAACATAGCTACCCCTCTGATACCAGTCATGTGAGTTATCCCACCAAGTCTCTGTTATTCCAATCACATCATAATTCCTTGACTGTGCCAGGACTTCCAGTTCTCCCTGCTTGTTTCCCAGGCTTCTTGCATTTGTGTATAGGCAATTAAGATAACTCGCCGATCATCCTGCTTTCTCAGTATGAGGCAGGAGTCCTCCCCTCTTGCGCTCTCCAAACACTTTAAAACAAACCTTACTGTATTATAACTGCCACCAAAACAAAGTTGTTTTTTAAAATATATTAGAGACAAGGGATGAGGGTTGCACTGAGTAGGAAAACTTAATCTTTTCTTTTTCTTGGTCTTGTGGTGAGAGCAATGGGTCAGAGAGAGGTGTTTAGGGAAGAAACAGTATTCGTGCCAGCAAGTGACTGGCCACAGAAAATCAACACTAGAACTGGGAGTAAAACCCTGGCGTTCCATTGCATACTCTGCTCTGACTGTTAAACACATTGCTTCTCTTAGAAATCACAGGTCTCGGGGTGGGAGGGGTCTCGGGGCGACTCCCTCCCAGCAGGTGAGGCGGGGGCGAGGGGGGGTCTCTCCCCGGGCGGGCGGGGGGGGGTCGGACCGGGGGGGGGCGGGAGAGTGTCTCCCGCAACCGGCCGGGGCAGGCAATGCAGACAGGCTGCCCAAGGCTGGGGCGGGCGGTTTGTGCCGGTGGTGGGAGCTCTCGCGATGGGGGGAAGCCCCTGCTCGCTGAGCTCGGAGGAGCCAAACCCACCTGCAGACGCTGCCTCCTCGCCTGGCAGCCCGAGGGAAGTGGCTTGCTGCGCCCCAGCCTCCTTTCCCCCAGCCCCGGACGGGGCTGCCTCACAGCTCCGCGGTCGGCGCTGTCCCGTGCCGCTCTGGGTACGCGCGCGGGGGGCTCGTGGCTGCTCCCCCAGTTTCCCGGGGGGGGCAGCTGCGGCTGGCGGGGTCCCCCCGGGCTCCGCCCTGGGACGTGAGACGGGCCTGGCGGAGGAGCAGCCGCCCACAGGGAGGGGACTGCTGGTGCGGAACAGCGCACACAGCACTGCCCTGCCTGGCGCCCGCGGCGCTGGGCGGGCCCGCAGAGCCGGTTGGGTCCGACGAGAACAGGGTGTAGCCGCACCGCAGGGCCCCTCTGCCGCTCCCCTGGGGGTGGCTGGCCCCGCACGTGCCCTGCACCCGGGGCGGGATGAGGCCCATCGCACGCCGTTCCCTAGCTAGCTGGACTCCTGCCTGCCGGGGTCAACAGCGCTGGGGCCCAGACTGGATAGTTTGCTTAGTTTCTCTCCTTCCCAGGGCCCCCTGCTGGGAAAACAGCCGCCCAACTTCCTCATATTTGTGCGCGTCTTCAGGTCCCAGGAGCGCCAAAGGTCAGAGCATGGAGCACGGGGGTGTTTGGGTACAGGACTTTGGGCTGTCCTGTTTCTAGTCATAGACTCCTAGACGTGTAGGGCTGGCCGGGACCTGGAGAAGTCATCAACAGAGTCAGCTAAACCTCCACCAGCCTTGCGCCAGGGGGTTTGTCCAACCTGCTCTTAAAAACGCCAGTGATGGCGATTCCACAACCTCCGGTGGAAGCCTGTTCTAGAGCTTAACTACCCTTGTAGTGGGGACCTCTCTCTCCGATGCCCAGCCAGGGCCATTGGAGCAGTGGCAATAAGCACACGCAGGGAGGCAGAAGGTGGAGTTCACAGTAGCTGCAGTCTTTTGGGGGAGACCCTAAGCCATTGTTGGAGCTACTGGGCGGGGAGGAGAAGATTGTGCAGGGAGCCTGATGGGGGTATTATTGTGTAGATTGAAGTTAGAGACTGGGGACTGCTTGTGCTCCCTGAGTGGGAGATGGGAACCAAGCACTCCTACCCCTGGTCTAGGGCAGTGTTTCCAAAAAGGTTGGTCCTAACCCACCAGTGGATTGCAGAAGGCACTAGGCAGCAGGTCACAGGCCCAGTGAGGAGGCGAGAACTGGGAGGGGAGGGGAGTTGTAGAATAAGATTGCCCTGCATTCACCCCACAGCAGTGGCTCCAGTCCTGAGGTCTGGGTCCTGCTCCCCACTCCAGGTACTACAACCTGAAGCACAAGGTTACACTACTGCCCCTCTGTGATGATGAAGGGGCAAACAGGCCACATTTGAGTGAGTGCTGCTGTGGGATGAGCTCACTTTCTCCCCCCCCCTCTCTTCCCCACATACAGGGGCCTCCCCTCAGTGCTGGGCTGGGATTAGGTTTGCAGTGCTGAGGCACAGGGTGCTGTTGTGCGTGGTGGATGCTTCCTTGACAGGGCAAGGGGCAAGCGTAGGCAAAGGACGCTGATCCCTATGATTTTGGGCCACCATCATGAATTTGGACCATGGCTGGGCCACAATAAAAGACAAAATGCAGATGGGGGGGTTGCCTTAGTAAAAAGTTTGGGAACCAGTGGGCTAGGGGTCAGTCATGGGGCCCATGAATAGTCAAGTCCAAGTGAAATCAGCAACCTACAGCATCAGGCTCCAGGAATTTTAAAGTTTGGAATATGGAGTGTACATGTTTTGTTTTGAAATGATTTTGTTGGAGTTTGAATGTTTAGTGTGCTGTTATATTCCTTTTCTAGGCACTCAGCTGATAGAGAAGATAATTCCAGGTGAATGTGGATACTATTTCCTACTGTGTTACAGTGATCCTTAGCTTTCAACTTGCCAGCATTTGCCAGGGAAACATGTTGAGACCCAAACAGTGAGGGATGAGGATGTTGGTCCAGGAGAAGATTTATTTTATAAAGTGTAATTACTGAAGCGCAGTAGGAACCTGATCCAAAGTCTATTGAAGGCAATGAAAAGAGACCAATTTTAAACCCCACTGTGATTGATCAAAGTGGAGGACATACTCCCAATAAAATATTAGCACCTAGAGCCCATAATAGGTGCCTTTTAAAATAAGTTGCCATAAATAAAGTCTTGTATACAGTGGGGATGGCCAGTGGATCTGCTTAGTGATTAACAATTAATATGCCTGCTCAAACCCCAAGCTCGTGTGTGGCAGCTGGGCTTACTGGCACATGAGGTGATTATCCCATTCATGGGCTCTCCACATCCCCCTGCCCTTAGCACAGGGGAACCTGTGGCAGCTCCACTGCCAGGGACTTCTATTCCTACAGCATGTTGGGTAGGAATTGTAACAATCTAACTGAGGATTTCCAGAATGCATAACACTGGTTCCCACCTCATATATTTGGACCAACATGATCATGATGTTGTCATTCTTGTGTAGTCAATGGGAATTAGAGCCATGGAGAAGAGGGCAGGATTGGGCCCTGAGTCTGTTCCCCATTACAGAGCAAAGCCTCTGAATACTTGACAAGTCAACCCTTTTGCACCATGTTTCCACACTTAAGACTCATTAAAAAACCAGGGAACAAATTTGGGAATTCTGCCTAGTGTCCTGGTTACAATGGCATTAAAATTATTACCATTACATAGTGCTTTTATTGAATGTTTTCATATCCACAGTACAGCTCAAATGTTATCTAATCTCATAACCATATTTGTTCTTTCATAGGAGAACTTCATAGCGAGCTGTTAACCCTTTACATGTAACAATACTGTGTATACAAGTGAGAAGATATTTCCCCCAGGAATCTTTCTTTGAATAGACTGTAAATATGGTAAAGAGACGGGACTTGACTCTAGCTGGGGATATATGATTTAGGGTGTGTTCAGGGCAAATGCAATGTCATTGTTCTGTGGAAAGGAGGTAGCCCCTCCCTCTGGGAAAGTGGGAGGTGGCTCCTCCCCTCAGGAGGAGGGGAAGTGAGTTGAAGAAGAATGGGGACAGTTGAGGGACAGAGGCAAGCAGGGGGAGCCTGAGAGAGACACAGAGAAACAGTCTGAGAGTAGCTGAGAGAAAGAGAACAAGGGGAGGGGATGGACAGAGGGAAACCGGGACTGAGAGAAACCAAGAGTGGATGGAGAGGCTTAGACTGGGCAGGACAGACAGAGAGACATGCAGGAGAGGGGCCCTTCGGTTTTAGAGCTGTCTGGTCAAGTCAGTCCATATTTGATGGCATGTTCCTTGAGCATCAGATCCAGCCATCTCTTATCACTGCTTCATATGTCCCAGAGATCCAGAACAGGAGAACCAAAGGTCTTTCAGATCCCATGGGTTTGGTCTACTGTGTACCTCTGTAAGCAAACACCACTGGAGTCAAGTCCATCTCTACAGGAAGTTCTGAGAGGCGCTTGAGGTTCAAAGACTCATTTGGGCATTAGACAGCACCTAGTGAAAGATTGGGAAAAGGGGAACCTTGAACTAATAAGATAATAGCCTGTGCATACACATATATATTGAGGGACCGGGTTATATATAGTTTAAGTACACTTAGTAGTAAGTTGCTGTGTGTGTATTCAAATCATTTTTATGATATATATTATTATTATATTTAATGTTATTGTAGGTAGATGGAATCCAGTTCTGTTTGTTCTGATTTACATAAAATCCCTGTTACGTGGTTTTTTGTTTTTAAAAAAACAACCAGTTGTATTGTCTTACCTACCGTTAAATAACCTTTTTTCACAGTGTAACACCCACCCAGCTCTCACCTGCCGAGTAAATTATACCAGTCAGTGGTTTTGGGACGGGGTGACCCTCGACTGTATTTCAAATTATAACACAATAACTACTCTGAGAGGTCAGTTTATAATAACTTTAGAAGAGGAATGGTTAGCATTAAAAGCAAAAAGCAAGCTGCTCTTCCCATCCTTGATGTTCTGAAAGATTAAGGACTCTTTAGTAATGAAGCTAGGAGATTGTTGCTTGTTTTGAACATCCACAAAAGCTCCTGCAATGGCTTCAGGAAGGAAATGTGTCAGATTTAAAGCTAGTTGACTTTGATTGCATATTATCTTTGATGTGTAGCTTCTGTTTTTTTTGATCGAGTTAAGAACTTTCCTTAACCAATTTCTTCCTGTTTCCAGATCAAGCTATTGACTTTTGTGGTTTTTTTAAAGCCACCTGCTGATATGGTATGTTAAAGATATTATGGTATTTTGGATTGTCTATAGAAATTCAAAAATAAAGTCTTTTGGGATTGTTTCAGTGCATATGGAAACTTTGACTTTTCTTTAAGCACAAACTCTTATTTAACATACTCTAGTATAGCTAAAAGCTGAGTCTTTAACCCATTACATTACTATTTTAATATTTTTTCAGGAAAGTTTACAAATACTTAACTCCTTTAAAGATAAAAAGTCCTGTAGATTTGCTGCCTATAGCTACTCCCTTGCACTTTTATAGAACCTCTTGTGATGGGTTTGGTCACAGAAATTCCCTCAAGATTGTCACTAGATGTGCTGGAATACCACTGAGAACAAACTCCCCTGCCAGAGAAGCCTTCCCTCCACTCCCGTCTTGCTGAGCTGGACACACCAGTCCGCTGCAGCGCAGACCAAGAGGTTGGGCCATGCACCCTGCAGTTCACAGAGACTAAGATTCACTTATCCCAGGGGCTTCTCAGTTACCAGGCACTTTCCCAACACTCAGTATTCAGTCTTTCTGGGAGCCTAAACCCCAAATGAATCCATTTTACTCTGTATAAAGTTTATACAGGGTAAACTCATAAATTGTCCACCCTCTATAACACTGATAGAGAGATATGCACAGCTGTTTGCTCCCACAGGTATTAATTATTTACTCTGCATTAATTAATAAGCAAAAGTGATTTTATTAAGTATAAAAAGTAGGATTTAAGTGGTTCCAAGTAATAACAGATAGCTACACCAATCTACACTAGTTGATCTGATTCTTGATGCTAAATGTTAGGCATCAGAGGACATCCCTTATTAAAAGGGACAAGTGAGCTTCACTCTAAAATATAAGGCACCAAATAAGGA